CGAATAGGTTCTCGGCGCACCTCCCTGAGACTCCGATGTGACGATGTCCGTCACATGACGGACGAAAGCTCAGCAAGGTTTCATCGGGATCGCAGGGAGGTGCGCCAAGGACCTATTCGCACGAATCTACAGCCACAGCGCCAAGGCAACCGCGCCACAGTCTCCGGTGGAACTAACATACGAATCCCTACTACTCGCTTCTCCAAACGAGATGAAAGGTACTCCAGCAGTGATTTGAAGTTTTCTAATCTCATTGTCATTTTGGCTCTTCAGTCTGAATTCGCGGGCCGTAAAAGAGTCCTTATTTTAATGTACATTTTTTTGGCGTCGGTTTACATATTATTTCGTTTAAGATACGGGTTGAATGGATTCGTAAGTTGGCCTTACTGGAAGCCAAGTAACGCGGACTTATTTGCACAAATATACAATCATAGCTTCAAGGCACTCCTTGTTTTACTTGCATTGAGGGGATTATTTTTCGTGAGGCTAAGCCACTTAAAATGTATGATAATAGAATTTTTCCCAAAATATGTTAACCAACCTCAATATATTCATGGATCCTTCTAACCCCCTCCTTTCTTCATATTCTATTGGTCTTTGCATTCTGCCTTCCTATCGTATTTCGTTGTCTCTTCGCCACTCATATCATTCTGAATATCTGGCAATGCTTCGATTCCTATAGCGTGTGGCTTATTTATTTCTTAGTACCGGTCGCATCACTCAAATACACTAGATTGAAGCCAACGGTTGTCTACTTTGACGAGTTCGAATCCTAGAATCAATTGTCTCGCGCCAGACACTTTTATTCCAAGTATCTAAAGTTCTTTCCTCATCTTAGATCAGCATATGTTAGACCTACACTCAGGTAGGTGGGAAAAGTTGATTTGTGCGAATAAGTTCTTCGCCTACTTTTGTAACCAGTGCTTAACTTATTCGTCGTAGACGACTTGAAAATCGAATCATACCAAATGGGATAAGATTATAAACATTGTGTTCACTGACCTGTCCTTTCTCCTCGTGGTACGACTACTTTGACTCCAGAAGGCAGACTACCCAGAAAATAATATATCTTTAAAGGTGTCTTGCAATTAATTTGTTTTTTCCGAGGTACAGGTTATTCAACTGCATTAAGGTATACATCCTTATCGGTACTCGTCATAAGCCACCTCTACTTCTTGGTTCTATTAACTCAGACCGCACTGAAGACGATACCACTGCATTTATCCTGGTTCATTTGTCCAGTTTCTCAACATGTAGAAGTAGCCCATGATGATTTGGAGATCTTCTTGAACTGCCAATTTTGCACACATGTTGGCGAGTAGAGAGTTTCACGAAACCTGTTCAAGCAAGGCGACGGTCGGCCATAACCCAACAATCCCAGCTGCTCACCCTCGTGGCCAAAGCCAGCCATGTGCTAGTCACCCTCCTAATTCTATCGCCTTTCCATTTACTCAACCCACAATTTGTGTCAATGAGCTGGGAAACAATTCCTCCAATTATGCTTCCGTGGCTCCCCGCGGACACTCACGCCTTCCTCCTCTCTCCTACACCGAACTGGTCTTCGCATGGACACAAACACATACACATACACATACACATACACATGTACATACACATACACATAAACACGCTTGCAAGTGAACACCCTCACCCGGACACAAGCGCATCTGTTCACCCAGTAGCCCCGACCAGTTGACTGCCAACCATGTCTTCGTGTAACATTTACGGGAGGTCCGTGGAACAATGGAGAGTTATTGGGCTTGGACCATTTGAGGCGGCCTGAATTTCTGGATCGCGCAGACGGCATTTCGTTAGCCAGTCAACTATGGACTCCTGAGTCAGAAACTGGGGCAGCTGAAGGGAACCCTAATTGCTGTTAGTGTAAAGGGTCGAGAAGATAGCTCTACATGTTGGGCGAATGCAAGGAAATCATGATTTGGTCGACATTTAGGGAGGGTATCCAGCAAAAC